GTGGATGTGACACAAATTAAATGATTGACAGTGGAATGTGACACAAATTAAATGATTGACAGTGGAATGTGACACAAATTAAATGATTGACAGTGGAATGTGACACAAATTAAATGATTGACAGTGGAATGTGACACAAATTAAATGATTGACAGTAAAATGTGACACAAATTAAATGATTAACAGTGAAATGTGACATGATTAACAGTGAAAAATGTGACACAAATTAAATGATTGACAGTGGAATGTGACACAAATTAAATGATTAACAGTGAAATGTGACATGATTAACAGTGAAAAATGTGACACAAATTAAATGATTGACAGTGGAATGTGACACAAATTAAATGATTGACAGTGGAATGTGACACAAATTAAATGATTGACAGTGAAATATGAAACATTAAATAGTTGATAAAGAAATGTAGATACATAGAAATGCATCACAGGTAATACAATTTAATATACAGAAGTTATTTTTTGGTAATGTAATAGTTGGTCAGAAAAAATTGAATTGTTGGTAATATGTATTTTCAATACATTATGGGTAATATAACAGTTGAATACACGTAAAGGCAATGCGTGTAATATTGCACAATGTATTGTGGGTAATATAATATTTGAAGCTTTTAAATACAGAGTAGTGCATTGTGGGTAATATTACATTCGGATACACTGAAATGCATTATGGGTATTATAGTACATATCAATTAAATATATGTATAAAATAAATCAATTCCAGAATACAATGAATTGTGGGTAATTTATGCTCATGATTTTCAGTTCTATGTAACCATGACAATGCATTATAGTATAAGACATTTCAAGTTGGACTCTTTGCTGTGGACATATTTGTTGTCCAGTATGTATTGTTGTTGTTTGTTTGTTGGTACTTTAGTGATATCACGGAAATATGGGAATTTCATCGGCACATTGTCAGTCCGCGTGAGCACCATATCTGTCAAGTGTTTGGAAAGAAACTGAACTCCTTCCTGAGACAGATGTACGCCATCACTCAGATACATCGCCCAATTCTAAAAATAAATAAAACACATTCTGTATTAATACAAGATAACACTGCTATATTCAATAAAACATTGTTCAAACTTCAACGTTATCTTTTTCATTCAGGGTTTGGAATTGGTGCGTGGTTGTCTCGTTGCCCCAGCCAATCCTTGTCACCATGGGGACAACACAATATTTTTAGTTCAGTGCAGTGTTATAATTTTGCTGAAAAAAAAGTTCAGTTTTAAACTTTGCAAACTTTTGCAACTTAATAATTACCTCCAGATAAATGTAAATATCCTGGTAGACTTTTAATTTGCAATATTTGTTTAAAAATGAAAATTTTAGACAACTACATTTTCAACCAGGTATTTATTTTCAATTTTGACTTATTTCTTTCATAAATTATTTTTTTATTACCGATAACCAATACAGTAAGTATTCTAATTTCTAAAATAAACAATTGAAATTTCACTGTATCCTCCATTTCACCATTTCTAACTCTCCCAACACAATGGCAACACAATTAAATCATACTGCACTGTAAACTGATTGCCGATTTACTGTAAAGATGCATGAAAACCACTGATAGAGCTAGCCTACATTTAATTAAAATGTTGCCAATGTGAAATACTTTGATGGGTCCAGTTATTTCTTTAATTGCAGCCAATTAAATTTCAAGAATGGCATTGCTGTATACAAATGAATAAAATGCACTAAACTTGAGAGTCCACACATACTGGGGGTAAATAACAATTTTAATGTTTATTTCTGTTGGTGAATCAGCTGGAATGTGAATATCAAATTTGTGACCATGTAATGTAATATTTATTAAAATGAAAATAGTAATTTTCATATGTTCCAAGCTTCTAAACATTACTACACTCAAAAAGCCATAAAATAAGCACTTCTATGTTCTTACCTTGTCTTTCTGCATCAAGGTCCAAAGATCCAACACATCAATCCCATAATCCTTTGCTGCATCACAGCATGCTTTACTATATTCAGCTGTTACCTCATACTTCCTGTCTAGTGGTTGCCCTGGTAACATAAAAATATTCATGTTTAAGCTGGCTTAAATATGTCTCATTTTAGTAACATAGGTAATTACTACAAAGAATAAGTTGAAATTAGTGATGACAATAATGCTCACTTCCATAAAAAGGCAAGGAAGTTCTAAAGCAACTTTTATGGTGGAATTCTACTCTTGAGTTTGTACGCAAATTTTATCTCATATAACAGTGATAATATTTTGTGACAAAATCGGTTTATAATAGTAAACAGTATGTGAACTTTTTCGGTTTGTAAAAAATTGTTTAA